TATCTATCTCTTTAGTGCCTCCAAATGAGGTCCTCAAGCTGTGACCTGATTGACAGGCTAAACTCCATCCTTTCACTCTTAAGAGTCTCAAGTTGACACCAGATTATGTAACTGCCACAGTCTCTATAGATTTACTTATTCTTATATTTCATATATGAAAAACACAAACAGGCAACAAACAAACAAAAATCCAACAACAATGACCAATGAAACATAGAAAAACATCGTCCGAAAAGAAAGCAAAAAATAATAAAAACAAACAACTTTAAAACGAGTCAAAAGGGAGATCAAATGATAAGATGTTACATTTTAATCTAATGTTGTCAAGAGCGAGCAGTCCCTGGAGAAAAACATCATGCTTGATAAAGTAGAGGGGCAACAAAAGAGAAAGCCCTTGACAAGATGGATTGACCCAGTGGCTGCAATTGTGGGCTCAAGCGTAAGAATAATTGTGAAGATAGTGCAAGACTGGTGGTGTTTCATTCCGCTGTATATAGGGTATCTGTGGGTCAGAACTGACTTGATGGCATGTAAAAGCATCACCATATATTCATAGAAGTAGACCTTGCCTGCCTATACATGTTCAGCTTGTGTATTGAATAGTATTTACCTTGGCCATCTTTAACTCTTGTGTTCCTGCCAGCATCACCCTTTACATTGTACATTGTGTGCTTGACTTCTCCTTATTATACATTGCCTTTCCCTTCACCCTAGACCAGTGGTTCTCAACTTGTGGGTCACGGCCCCTTTGGGGGTCGAATGAACCTTTCACAGAAGTTGCCCAATTCATAACAGTAGTAAAATTGCAGTTATGAAGTAGCAACAAAGATAATTTTATGGTTGGGGCGAGGGTCAACACAGCATGAGGAACTCTTTTAAGGGTTGCGGCATTAGGAAGGTTGAGAGCCAGTGCCCTAGACAATATGTATCTATCCTCTAGTTAGTGATTTGCCTCCTACCCTGGTAACCTACAAAGAATATTTATTACTGTATGTAAACCTTTTCCTGCTTTTTTACAGTAGTGGTCTCATATATTTGTTATTTAGTGACTAATTTTACTCAGTATAATAACCTCTAGTTTCATCCATGTTATGTGTTTTACATTTTTCCTTTTTTTAAAATCATTTCATTGGGGGCTATTACAGCTCTTATAGTAATCCATACATCCATTGTGTCAAGCAATTTGTACATATGTTGCCATTCTTTTCAAAACATTTCTGTCTGCTTGATCCCTTGGTATCAGCTCCTAATTTTTTTTTACCTCTCTCCCCCTCTCTCCCACCCTTATGAACCCTTGATAAACTATAAATTATTATTATTTTCCTATCTTACATCATCTGCTGTTTCTCTTCACCCATATTTCTGTTGTTCATCACCCTGGGTAGGGTGTGGTAGTAGTTATATGTTGACCATTGCCATCAGTTCCCTCTTTCTCCCCCACCTACCCCATACCCTCTTGGTATCATTACTCCCATTATTGTGCCTGAGGGGCTTATCTGTCCTGGATTCCATGTGTCGAGAGCTCTTATCTGTACGAGTGTACATGCTCTGGTCTAGCGGATTTGTAAGGCAGAACTGGGGTCATGATAGTGGGGGGAGTAACTTTCAGTGACATGTAATCCATATCAGCTCCTACAGTTAGGGACTTGGGGCAGGCATCGTGAAACTTGAAGCCCTTAGGAACGATGGAAGTCAATTGTGGGAGAAGGGAAACACCGCAACAAACAGGAGCAAACTAGACTTAGCTCCTGGAGCTGACTTGAAGGCACGCCTGACCTGCTAGCCACTGACTGGATTAAATGGTTTTACTTATTTGTAATTGTATGAATTTATTTACTCTAATGTATTTTTAGAAAGAATTACCTAAGGCAAGTCCAAATGAGAAATTGATGGGAGATTGTACTTGGAGTTAGGAAGAAAACAGGTAATTTGGAGATGTACTTTGTGGATTAAGACAGGTGGGTTGGACTGTGATAGTCATGATGCCAGAGCACCTGTGGCTGTGAGTAGGCTCCTCATTAGGCTTGTTACAAACACAAATAGTATGTTTCACTTATTTTGGTTTCCTTATAGTATTTCACTCAGTGATTTGTATATATTCACTCAGTAAATATTTTAAAAGTTAGTTGCAGAAAGGATAGAGGTAATGTGCTAATGACAAACCTTCTCCCCAGCCAAGAGAGATTATAGTTTCTTGTTCTTCTTCCTATTACTTATATTAGTTGCTTCTAGTCTTCAGTAGTCAAAATTCAAATTAGATTATGTGATTACTATATAATTTGGTCAGGTCTGTTAGTGCTAGACTGAAAGTTTGGAGGTCTCCAAGATCACTAGAAGGACTCATCACACCCATTGAAAGCTGCTATGCTCAGAGTTATGTTTTATTACAGCTAAAGGATATACGTGAAAATCAGCCAAGAGAAGAGCTGCATAGGGCAGAGTTCAGAAGTTAACATACACGAAGTATCCAGGTGTCCTCTCCATGTGGAATCATGGATAGTATACTTCCCTGTGACAATATACACCACGTATTGCCAATTAAAGAAGTTCACTTAATTCTGAATTTCCTATGTTGCAAGCTCTTATCTGTACCAGTATACATGTTCTGGTTTAGCCAGATTTGTAAGATAGAATTGGGGTCAT